CACACACACACACACACACACACACACACACACACATACACACACACCCCAACTCTTCACAACTGAAGCAAGGTATTTTTATTAGAGAGGCCCAGAAGAAATGAAAGCTCGTTTGAGTCTTTTCTTTATGCTCATCTTTTGTATTCAAATATGCCCTATTGATGAACCCTTTTCTGAACCCAGGTGTGGAGGTATGTTTGCAAAGATCAGCTGTGGGATGATGAGTAGTCCTCCTGATACTACCTTTGTTGCAGCACCCAGGACTTCAGTACAAATGGAAGAAGCAGTCTGGCAACCCTCACGGAGTGCTGGAGTTAGAGTCTGGAAGACCAATCATACACTTGCAATCTATGAGACCTCGGACAAGCCACAACTTTTCCCAGCTTCAGTTCCCCCTCTGTAAAATGACAAAGTCGGACTAGGCAGACCTAAGGTCCCTTTCATCTATAGAGCTTCATGCTCATTATGTATTTCATGTTGACTGTGGTTCACTGGTGAAATTGCCAAAGCTGCCCAAGAAGTTGGATAAAGGAAGAGCACAGTTTTCAGTCCACTGTTTAACTGGCCACTTTCAGTTTGGTCTGGAGATAGACAGAACACTGATTCTATACTGTATGCCTCTGCCTGCCCACCATGAAATTTAAGGATGAATCTTCTGGCTTCAGCTTTCTAATTTTGATAACTGGCCCCTCATTGGTGACTTATTGCCTGTACACTCATTCATTCAGAAAATGATTGCTAAGCACCTACTGGAGAAATAATACTGTACTAAGGTACTTAGCTTTGTGGATAGCAGAGTTCAGTTCAAGCATGTCCATTTTCTTAGTAATCGTAGGCCAATCAATCTTAGAGCACAAGAAAAGTGATGCTAAAGGACACACACATATATACATCTTCCAAAGAGTATAAGGTGCTTTTTAAGTTAAGAAAATTTATTGATAAATTAAATGTATTTGGATTGGGATGAAAGGAGTATCTTCACTCTTTCTCTTAAAAAGCAGATTAAGATTTTTCACATTTAAAGCCATCTGGGAAAACATGCTGGTTGATTAAAGTTCAGACTCTCTACTTAGAAAATAGCTTACACCAAATTACACTGAATAGAGTTTCAGAATCAAGCTTCTTTTTCCTACTCCTTTTACACTCTGCACTCGGCTGAATGCATAGTGATCTTTCTTAAGACATTTTTTCCTCCTTTATTTCTCAAACTCTCTCCAACAGAAATGCTTTTCTTTGTAGAGGAATAAGGCTTTTCTTTCATTGCCTCTCTCCCCCTTGATGACATGAAGTATTCAATCACAACCAATTTGCAGATCTTGTCGTGCTCGTTTGTTTGTGTTCGTCAGCTTAGTCACCTGTGCCAGATTGTCGAATGCATGACCTAGATAACGCAGATACCTCAGTCAACAAGTATGATCGTGCTCCGAAATGGAAATGTTCTGGAGACTTTCCTATCCAGCCCTTTCTTCCCCTCTGTGATATTTTCTGTAACACTGAGCTGAATTTTCCTTGCCTGGGTTCTGTGTCAGGGGTCCAGGGCACACGGTTGTTACCCGTTTGGGTCATTCTTTCAATTCAGTCCTTGAACAAGGTGTCAGATTCATTTTCTAAGCCTTTGTAAGTCACCAATCATGCAACCCAGAGCAGATGACAGAAAAACAACTCTCCCATCAGACAGTCAGGAACACTGCAGGGAATACAGGCCTCATTCAGCAAGCAGATTATATCAGATGCAGCCAGATGAGTTATTGCTCTCAGGAATGAGTCACTTTCCCCTAAAAAGTTAAGGAGAAATACAAGGAACGGTCATTTTAAAAATATAAATTTTCAAAGAAATTGACATGACTTCAGTTTCATTTTGGTGAGCTGACCTGACAATTTTCACTTATGTAATGTCAGTGGGAGTTGATAATCTTTTTAATCTTGGGGGGGGGGGAGATCTGTGAGTTTATCCCTGACGATGAACCTGATTGAGTTAGGTCATTAACTTGGCTGTAATAAATAGTGTTAAAGAGTTGTCCAGGGGCACTGAAAATCAAGTGACTTGCCCACAATCATTCAGTTAGTGTGTCCCAGAGGCAGGATTTGAACTAAGGTATTCTCAATCCAAGGCCAGTCCTTTATCCACCATGCCACACTGCTTCTCATTTTACAAGGGGAGGGAACCTCAGAGGTCAAATTAAAAACAAAACAAAACAACACAAAAATCTGGAGAAAGTCTTCAACATTAGCACTCTGAATTGCTTGGTAAAGAGAAAGGGGAAATTGGGACATGGGTTAACTGCAGACATGACATGCTAATTGCCAGTTGTGCACCTCCAATTCCATGTAGCCAGGTATTCTTTCCTCTACTACGTGCAGCAACAGAGGCTTCCCAGGTTCTAATCTTCCAGACGAAAGTAGAAAATACTATCAGAAAAGACCAGTGTGTTCTTAGGAGGCTGAGGAAATTCAAGGCCGGGCAGCTATGACACTCTAAGCCATAAGCAAAGGTCTAGAACACTGTGGCTGTGTCCTACTTTCCACAGGGTTGAAACACTGATCTCTGTCCTAACAAGGACCTCTAGTTCCCTGGGTATTTCCAAGCCCTGTTTGCCATCAGGTTAAGTAAGACAACTTCAGTAAAAGCAAAGGCCTGGAACTGAGCCAGGTTAGCAGGCCTGCCTAAAGCAGTCCTCCTTAGAATACAACTCCACGGGCCTAGCAGGGAGCAGAAGAACGGATAGTAGGGGGTTCCCTCAGCAAAGCTAAAGTGAGGCAGCAAAGTGAGGAGGACAGAGGACAAAACAATTTTAACAGGATTAACCTTCCCCAGAAGGAGAATATGTTACCGACTGACACAGTATCATTTCTGGACCTGCCCTCTGCACAACCCCCACCAAACAGTAAAAAAATATAGTAAAATACATTTGTCTCCTCTACCAGCTCTCACATTTTTCAAAACACTTCATTTCTTTCCCTTTAAACTTAGATCCTTGTTTTCAAAAACAACAACAATAGCCTCTTCTTGGGAAAGGTAACACTTTAACCTGCTATCACTTAGATTAGTTAATATTAGTGTGAATGGTCTCTAAGTTATTAGTTGTTACTCTACTGGGGTTCTTAATCTGGGGCCCATGAACTTGATTTTTAAAAAAATATTCTTTTGATAACTAGATTTCAATATAATTAATGTCCTTTGTAATCATATATTTTGTTTTATGCATTTAAAAATACTAGTCTAAGAAGGGGCCCATAAGTTTTACCAGATGGCCAAAGGAGCACACAACCCAAAAAAAGATTAAGAATTTTTTATTATACTAGGTTATAGAAATGCTTATTTTATTTCATAAATTAAAAATAAAATAAAAATTTTTAAATGACATAAGATTTTATGCTCTAATGGTAAGAATTTCAAGACATGACAGAGTACTACTTTTGATGAGGGGCTTTAGTGAACCTCACATTTAAAACTTAAGCAGATACTTATTCTGCCTCTGAATTCGGCAGCCCTCATAAACAACTATGGCATTGGGATATCCTTCTTGTCAATACATTACTTGGCAAACGCTAAACTATAATCCAATATTCTCACTCCTTGGCTTAGGAGAGATTGGGTAATAATATATTAAAATCAGTAAGAATGGGACTGATCAGCCCACACAACTTTTGGAGGGCATGAGAGAAAGCAAGGCAGATTAATGAAGGAGGTACCATAGTGACACCAAATCGTAGTCTGTTTGATCTATAGTTTGTCTAAACCTGTACTGCATATTTGGCCTGATCTACCTTCAGATTGTTCTCATTTCAAAATGAATTTATTACTTCAGTTCTTTGTCATTCATTGGAAATGGTAACGTGTTAGTGGCACCACAAGGCCATCATTCAGAAATGCTCTCCCATTGAGACCCAGACCAATCCATGGTCTTCAGACTTTCTCTATTCCCAAAACTCATTCTCTCTGGGAGCTCATCAACTATCACTGACATATTTCAAGCACTGTGCTAAGCACAAGGCAAAAAAATACAAAGAAAAAAAAAAAAAAGGAAACAATCCCTACCTTCAAGGAACTTACATTCTATTGGAGGAGAAACTGACAAAGACATTACCATTCTCCTAATTCTTGAAATTTGTAAGCTCAGAAATAGTTAGCTAGCTATACAATGTGTGTGTGTGTGTGTGTGTATGTGTGAGTATCTAAATAGATAGATAGATACACACACATATAATCTCACACTTCTTTCTTCATAATCTATCAGTCAACAAGTCCTGACAATTCTCCTAGGGTAATGTCTCCAGGCTTTATCTCTTTCTTTCTGAGGAATATCTGCTGACTAGTCTCAGAATAATTTCCAAAGGTATGCAAAGTAGGCATCCATTGACATGTTGTAATTTAAAGGGCACTCCAAATGCTAAAAACTTTTCATTCACCGGATTAATTTTTCAGTTCATTTAGTTGATAACCTACAGGATGAATTACACAGAGGTAAGCAGCATGCTTAGGGTGGTGGGATACCTGAGGGAAGAGGTAGGTAAAAATGGATGGAAGCAGAGAGAAACTTGTCTATTTCATCTTTATTCAAGTTGAGCCTGATTTATCCTATTTCATATTGATCATTATTTGTTTCTTCTTTAGCACTTCAGTATACAATGTACACTAAATGATTTCAGTTTATTTACATCTGGCTTGGTAATTGTTCTATTATGACCTCCAACTATACGGAGAGCTTCTTGAGAAGAGGGGGGACCGTATTTTGCTCTTTGAAGACTGTCAAATAAATGAATGAATATTGGATCCTTTCTAAAAGCAGATTCTAAAGCACATCCAATTAACTTACTAGTAAGTTAATCAAAGTAGAATTGACAAGACATCACTGAGTTCAAAATCATTAGCTAAAACCATTTGTTCCTAATTATATTTAATACTGCATATGTTGCTGTACAAAGATAACTGCATACATATCATCTCCAATATGTTGAAACTTACATTACAAGATGCATTGAATTTGGAGTTAGAGGAAATGGGTTTAAATCTTGCTTCTGACATTTACCAGCGGTGTGATCTCACACAAATCTCATTGAGCTGTACTTTGTACATCTGTAAAATGAAAGAGTTGGCATAGATGGCCTCAAAAGCCTAGCTCAAAATATGTGATCCCATGGACAACATCAATATGTGTGTGTATATACACATACATACGTATGTATATTTGTTGTTGTTCAGTCATTTCAGTTGTGTCCAACTCTTCATGACCCTGTATGGGATTTTCTTTGCAAAGATACTGGAGTGGTTTGCCATTTCCTTCTCCAACTTATTTTATAGATGAGGAAACTGAGGCAAATAGTATTAAATGACTTTCCCACGGTCATGCAGCTAGTAAAATCTGAGGGCAGATTTGAATTCAGGTCTTCCTGACTTCAGGCCCAGCGTTCTATCCCCTGCACCACCTAGCTGCCATGCATGTATGTACACACACATAAAATATAAGAACTCCCTTGGTTCTGTATATTAATTAATTTAATTTTTAATTTCTGTTGTCTATTTAACCTACACACTTGCATGCATGTGCACATATGTATATGTGCATACATGTATATACACACATCTATATATGTACATTAAACATACAACAGAAATTAAAAATTAAATTAATTAATGCATAGAACCAAGAGAGGTTTAATGCTATTTCCAACATTCTTACTAAGCTATTTGTTTCCTTCACACATTTTAAAGTCAAAAATTGATTCACTCAACCTTCTTACATCTTACTTCACTCTAGTTACTCTACCATCCAGCCCCACCAACCTACTTGTAGTTCTTAGAATGGGACTTTCAATCTACCATCTCAATGCCTTTGTACTCCCAGTCCTATCAGTCTGGAATGCTCTGTCCCTTCACCCTAGCCTCTTAGTTTCCCTTGCTTTCTTCAAGATTCGTCTCAAACACCAACTTCTGAGGAAGCCTTTTCCAGTTCCCCTGCCCCAGCCTCTCTCCTTAGCTGCTAATGCCTTCTGTTTTCAGATAACATTTATCTACTCTGTTTGTGTCCTGTATGTATTGTTTGTTTTTACTTCAGTACTTAAGGGGCAGCTAGGTGGCGCAGTAGATAGAGCACCAGCCCTGGAGTCAGAAGGACCTGAGTTCAAATCCAGCCTCAGACATATGACACTTACTAGCTGTGTGGGCAAGTCACTTAACCCCATTGCCTAGCCAAAAAAAAAAAAAAAAAGACCAAAAACTTCAGCACTTAGTACTATACTTTGACTAATTGAATGACTACCATGGAACCCATTACAATCCAAAGCCTCTACAATATATTAACAAGCATTGGTAAAGTGTCTGATAGGGCCAGGCACAGGAGATCTAATGAAAAAGCAAAAACAATATCCCTGCCCTCCAGTAGCTTATGTTCTAATGATGGAGACAACATTTCTAAGCCAGAACATACAAGATAAAAACAGAATAGATATATAAAATCAGAAAAGAGACACTGGATACTGTAGACCAGGAAAGGCTTCCTGAAGGATATGGTGTTTGTAATGAGTCATAAAGGAAGCCAGGAGATCTAAGAGTTGGAGAAGGGAACGGAAAATATTCCAACCATGGAGGACAGTCTGTGCAAAGGTATAGATATGGGAGTTGGGACGGTGTCTCAAATGTAAGAAATAGCAAAGTAGGTCTTTAAAAGTACCCGTTTTATCATATCCTTTAACTATGGGTATTCCTCAAAGCTCTGTCCTGGGCCCTCTTCTCTTCCTTTCTCTTGGACTCTTTATCAGTTCACCTGGTTTTAATTATCTTGTTTATATTGATGACTCACAGATGTATGTATCCATATGTATATAGTCTTTCTCCTGAGCTACCAGATTCCTATTGGACATTTGAAGCAGGAAATTTCATTAGCATCTCAAACCTAAAGTATGCAAAACAGAACTCTTTATCTTTTGCTCTAATCAACTTCCTTCTAAAATTCCCTCTTTCTGTCAAAGGCATCATCATTCTTCCTGTAACTTGGTTCAAAATCTTGACATCATCCTCAAGCTCTCTGTCTCTCTGTCTCTCTATCTCTCTCTCTTTCTCTGTGCACATGTCTAATTGGTTGCCAAATCTTGTCATTTCTACCTCTCACATCTGTACCTTTCTCTCTACTTAACCGGCTATCACCCTTCTTCAGGCCCTCATGCCTTCTTTCCTATGCTATTGCAATGACCTCCTAACTGGTGTCTCTGCTTCAAGTCTCCTCCCACTCGAAATCATCCTCCACCTATCTACTAAAGCAATTTTCCTGAAAGCACGGAGTTGACCATGTTTCTCCCTTACTCAATAACCCCCAGTGGCTCTCTTTTGCCCCTGTGATCTCCTATAAATTTCTTTGTTTTATATTTAAAGACCTTAACAACCTGGCCCCATTTTTATCTTCACAGCTTTATTTTCCATTACTCCCTTTCACAATTTCTGCAGTCCAGTCAAACTTGCCTTCTCACACATGGCCCTCTGTTCCCCACCTCTGCAGTGGGTGTCTTCTATCCCCAGTGTCTTCTGTGCCTGGCATGCATTCTCTCATTAGCTCTGTCTCTTAGAATTCCTGTCCTCCTTCCAGACTTAGCACAAATATCACCTTCTATATGAATTCTTTACTGACCCCCCTCCACCTGCCTTCCCTCCAAATTACCTTATATCTATTTTCCATACACCTATAGACAATTTGTACATGTTGTCTCTCCTGGATAATCTCCTGAAGGCCATTGCTGTTTACTTTATGGTTGTATCCCCATCACCTAGAAACAGTGCCTTGCCCTGAGCCAATGCTTAATAAAGGCTTGTTGATTGATTGATTTAAAGACAGGGGGACATGAGACTTTGAAGTTGATCACATTCTATACATAAGGCACTTGTACATCATTTATGCAAAATTTTCAAAGCATAGCACAAATAAGTGACCTTAATAAATCAGCAAAGGGCTTCTTTGCTTGTAATCCTGGATCAGTGAGTTGTTTGAGTTTTTCCTTTTAGAATATTTGATTAGGTATGCTTGAGCTAACCCTTAGCTGTCAGATTTCCAGCATTTTGGATTCCAATCAATCAATCAGTCCCTCCCTTATCCTGTTATTCCTGATACTTAGAGATATCTAGGGGCCATCCAGTTTCTGCTTAAAGTCTTCCAATAACAGGGAATTCACTACCTCCCCAAGCAGTCCATTCCACTTTAGGGCAGGTCTAATTTTTGGGAAGTTTTTCTTGCATAGAGTCAAAATCTACTTACACTACCCAAGAACAAATGGACCAAATGTACCCTGGTAAGTAAAGGTTTTATTACCATGGTAACTTAACAAGTAACTTAGAAACATGGAGTGTACTCCATGTAGACTGTCATGTGAGTTGGAGTCAAGTGTGGTTTAAAATAAACAGCCTTTCATCCAGAAGGTTCTGAGATATTCGTGAGAGACAGCATGGCATAATGGAGCAGTAGACTTGGAGCCTGGAGAGCTAGGCTCACATCCTGACCTGGATATTTAACTAGCTATATGATCATGGGGGAATCACTTAGTCGCTCAGAGGCTCAGTTTCCTTATCTAAAAAATGGTTCTAATATTTTCACTACTTGACTCATTTGGTTATTGTGAAGAAAGTTCTCTGCAAACCTTTATCAGTTGTGTAGATGTGAGTTATTAATATCATCTTTTGACAAGGTTTAAAATTATATATATGCATATGTGTGTATATATGTGAGTATATATACATATACACATATGTATATATACATGTGTGTGTATACATATACATATACACATACATATACATATACTTACATATATTTGAAATAGGAACAATTTTCCAAATTTCACTTAGTGTCGTTATCATTCAGGACTCATAGCTAATACTCTGTCTAACTTACTATGCTGCTTCCAGCTGAAGCAACCAGTGCCCACCCTGGGAAATGTTGACTCTGTAAAGGTCTTGGGGTCAGGATTATCTATATCATCTTACATAGCATGACACACTATGATCAAGTGGGGAATGGGGGCAAGATGGGGCATTAATTTCGTAAGCACATTTTTCTACAGGAACACATTAATTTTCTTTGACTTCTTGTTTCTGATTCCCAGAGCACTGCCACTTCTAGGGTTGGTCTACCTTTTTAATTCCTGTTGTGGGTGTGGCAGTATGCTTTCAGTTGGATTTAATTTGTAGTCACATCATTCTGTCTAATGGGAACCAAAATGCAGTCAAAATAATTTCCCAAGCAATAGCTGTCATTTGCAAATGTAAAGTTGCCCATTTTCACTGTGGATTTTGTGATATTTCCTCAATTGCCTCATGGCTCTAAATCAGGCATCCCTCCAGTATTTACAGGCTCTGAGTTACAGAATTGTTTTTCTATTGAAACAATCCAAAGAGAAATCCAGAAGGCTGCATGTCAGGCTTTTAAAAATGCCCTCTATTATAAACTCTGTTCTGTGATGGAAATACTGGATTCGGTTGAT